AAATGTTATCACATCAAATATAATCACATCAAATTTAATCATATCAAATATAATCACATCAAATATAATCACATCAAATTTAAACATATCATATATAATCACATCAAATATAATCACATCAAATTTAATCATATCATATATAATCACATCAAATATAATCACATCAAATTTAATCATATCAAATATAATCACATCAAATATAATCACATCAAATTTAAACATATCATATATAATCACATCAAATATAATCACATCAAATTTAATCATATCATATATAATCACATCAAATATAATCACATCAAATATAATCACATCAAATATAATCACATCAAATATAATCACATCAAATAAATCACATCAAATAAATCACATCAAGTATACTCACATCAAATGTAGAAACATCAAGTATAATCACGTCAAATAAAATCACATCAAATATATGTGAGCAAAAAAAAACGATACATGGCGTTCTTTGCCTAATTTGCTAACAGGCAGTGGCCGTTTTGCATTCAAAGTTATCAAATTCTTCTGAAGAGGTACAGGTGAAAGGTTCATTTATGTGCATTTGCAACTAGCACATTGGAGAAACTATTATCCTAGCTTTATTCTACTTTCTTGCACTGTGACTGGAATTTCTTATAAATGGTATAAGAAAAACAGCGCGCTGCCTAAAGAAGATGCCATCAAAATGGCTGCGCACGTGTGATTAAGAAATGAATACGAACTAGTCCAAAGTACACTAAATTCAGAAGTAGAAAAACTGAACTTTTGCCACAGTAGACAGTACTGACTTCTGAAAGTGCAATAAATAATTTATAAATTTTAAAAAATACTTTTAAAAAAAGTAACAGGTTTTTTTTTCTCCAGTTTTTTTTTTTTGAAGTCCAGGAAGTGAAACTGACCATGTAGTCTCTGTGATCCAAACTACACCAGTCAGTCATGCGCAAAATAAACGAGAATTAGAAGTACACTTGGCAATGCATAGCACATAAAAAGTCATCCTTATATAACCAGAATAACCAGCGACGAAATCATGAGAAAGTAGTCTATTTTGTTTGTTTGATTAAATCCATCTCTCTTGCAAAGTACGAAACTAAATCCATCCTCTTTACAAATTACGAAACTCAATCCATCTCCTTTATAATGTACGAAGCTAATCCAACCCCTTTACAAAGTATGAAGCTCTAGAGTAGGGCCGTTACACATTTCGCCTCGTTTTCAATATGCTCTTAACTCGCAAAGATGTTCCGATTGGAGATGCGAAAAAGTCTGTTCTTGGGCACATGGTACTAAATGTATGGAAAAATGGGAGCCAGTCTGTAAATGGGTGAACATAAAATATAGTACATATGAAATTGACTGGCCAAACTGGTTAATGATGTAAGTTATTTTTTCTGAAAAAGAACCTTTTAAGAGCTTATCCTCGATGTAACTGAGCAAATAGAGCCATTGTTTTATTGATGGAATTTCTTCACTTCTTGAGTTTGCAACATTCATTGCTGAAATTAGCACCTGACTCTATGGTACAGAACTGAAAGCACATGTTTAAAACACATGTATGTCCAGAAAATGCTGATATCCTTTTTCTCTACACAGAAGCTGACATCCAAGTTTCATCCATACTATTAAAAGTATGCTCGATCATCAGCACTTAGAACTTTAAAGTTATTGAATTGTTAGTGCCATGGTGTTACATAGCATACTATTGAACTGAATTAGTACCGTGAGTCCTCTACTCAGCGTACGCATTAATATAACATACGTATGCATTAATGTAATATACGTCCGCATCAATATAATATACGTACGCATTAATATAATAAACGTATGCAGAGAGAAGATAGATAGGTAAATAGGTAAGTATATAACAATATCCCTACATTCGTCGTGGAAATGTACTTAAAAACTCAACGATCAATTTTTTTAATGATGAGAATGTCCTTCTATCATCGATATCCCCGTGTCTCCATGCTAAAGAGTTCTTTATCTCATTTTGTATAAACGTTCCTTTAGGAGGTGATAGACTGGGATTTGTTTTCTTTTTAAAAAGTCGCAAAGAACCTAGACCTATATTGCTTATACGTCATATTTTACAATGACAAAGAAATGTCACATTAAATGTCTAATTAATATTTTCATTAAACATTATCTTTGTGATAAATAAATAAATAAAATATATCTTGATATAAACCTGGCCCGATAAATCTCTCCCGGCCACGAATTTTCTAACAACCACCAAATAAGAATTATTTGAGGGTGAAATATTTGTTTGTCTAATATCTGAAAATAATCAAACAACATAGTTCGAAAATAAAACGTCTTGTACTGGACTAAAACAACATGTATAATGATATGTAATTATTTATAATTAACATGTATAATGATTTGTAACTATTTATAATTATGTATAATTACGGATGTAGAATGTAAAAAGATGTACAGTTCTGTAATTTGAATACTTTTCATTCCTCTCGCACTGACTTCGGATATTTTTCACCCCCACCCCCACTAACTTCTAATACCTCTCTTACATTGACTTCGAATAATTTTGATCCCTTTCACAGTGACTTCGGATTCATTCCTCTCACGTTTATTTTAGATATCATTAATCCGTGTCACTTTGACTTCAGATATCATTAATCCGTGTCAGGTTGACTTTAGATATCAATAATCCGTGTCACTTTGACTTTATATATTATTCATCCCTTTCGCTCTTACTTCGGCGACAATAATGATTCTATCGAATTTTCAGCTTTTTGTAAGAATTATTGATACTATAATGAAATACAATCCGAAAACGAGATCTTATCTCTTTCTAACCAGCTCTTAAAAAGATCCGTTATCTAAATTAGTCCGACAGGTGTTTCTTGGTTTGTCAGTTGATTTACATTTGAGGCATTAGTGGTGCTTTACACCAACCAATACTAATTTGTCTCGGTTAACCGCAGATCATCACTTCTGGCAATGTTTTCCAATCATTGGTGATTTGAACAGAGATAGATTGTGCATTAAAGCGGCCCGATTTTATTTACCGTTAGATGACTTCAGTTTCTTTATTAGTAAGCTTGGATGATATTCCCAGTTATTGTGTATTGATGTGTTCAATTGACTGTAGCCGGTGATTAAAAGTTTTCTACCGAAGGCAAGGAATTAGTTAGCGTTGGCAGACTCCTGGTTTATTAGACAAATTTGGACAATGTCCTGCACCTGCGGCTGAATATGATGAGTACGTACACGCTGATAAAACTAAAGCAAAGAACCCAAATAGAAAGGGTACATATAACCGATATAATTAGGACCACGGAAAGAAATTAATATCATTGACAAAGGATACAATTTAATCTTGGTGGCCACGAAAATAAAGAAATAATAGAAAAAGGAAAAGAGAAGACGAAGACAGACAACTGGATCTATGTTTGCTGAGAGCTAATGTGTTGTCTTTATGGAGCAAAATTACATGCTAATTTCCTCAATAAAATATTTTCTTTTCCTTGTTTTTATTACGGACTTTGTTTAGCTCAAATTTCATTCGTGTTCAAATGTAAATGATACATAATACAATAATTTATCAAAAACAAAAACGTGAAAATCTCTTTAGAACTTATTTTTCCTTCAATGAATAAAAGCTGAAAAGCCATGTTAGATCGTTGCGAAACCAACTCAAATTTCTTATTTGTCTTTTTTTTTTTCTCTAGAATTTTATACTCCTTTCAAAATTTAAGTTGCGAAAAATAATTTTTTAGATGAAATTGACTGTTTTCAGTCTACACGTATGCGTGGTTCAATAATTAGAAACTGAAACCGAAAATTAACTTTCTTCGTGCACATTAGATGCGTACTAAAACCTCCAAAAGTCTCGTATCACCTGCATTTTAAATGCGTTTCTTATCTGCTTCCGTAACTTCTGCATGGCATTTAGAGGTGCTATTTTATTTGTTTAGCGACAAAAAGCCTTTTCTGTTGAGAGTCCATGCTAGACTTTTTGGATTGCCAAATATCCGATCGCTACCTGTCTCTAGTAATGCCGTCTTGATAGAGCTTGGGCTAGCGAAGGTGAGATTGATTGTTCTTGGTAAAACTTTGCAGGTATAGTTAGATATTGAAAGGTCTCAGCAAACTGAAACATCCTTAAAACCTAAATAGTTCTTCTGCTTCAAATATATTTCCTTCGTTTAGTAATATCTACCCAGGAAACAGGAAACAGTTCGAAATGAATATTTTCATTTGTTCCCAACGTTTCTTTGTAACTGAGAGGTTTTCAGGATATACTTTTATTGGTCAATTAGACTTTGAAATTATCTGCGGTTTGTCCTCATGGTGTGCTTCTTCAACTCACAATTATCCTATCTATTTTTATCCGTGAAAATGTATAAGAGTGTACAAAAATATTTAACTTTGTTTATGTGCTAAAATAGCATGAATTTTGTTGAAATTATTATTTAAGACATAAAGTGGTGAATAGAATTCAAAATATTTATTTGCTTCTCTGCCATGATTTTTGTTCCAATTATGTGATCTTTTGATTTTTTCTTTTAAATGCACAGACAAATATATGTACCAATTTTCTTGTCCATCAAAGAAAAGATATAGGAAATGTAAAGAGCTGAGAGGCAAAAAAAAAAATGTCAGCAACATGAATGTCTTACGTTGATTTTGAAGATACAACCCCGATAAGCGATATAACTTATAACAGAAAAATAATCGGTCGGAGTTTTCATACTTAAATATCAATTACAGTTAAAGGCAAAATATACTTTTAAAAATAGAAGGAAAGGAAAGTGATGTGATGAGAGATTATGAATTTTAACGTAGCTTTAACAATTTTTCAGTCATATTGCTACGAAGTATGCAGTGTGGCAGTTTATAGTGATGTCTAGCACACTGGGTTATCATGTCGCAGTCACATTATCCTGACACCAGGCCGAGCAGTCCTAACACTAATATCTTAATGCTGCGCGCCAAGCGAGGCATCTGTTAGTACCATTTTTGTAACTCTGGTATGACTCGAGAGGGGATGGAACGCACGATCTCCCGCATCCGAGACGGACGCTCTAACCACTAGGCCACCGGAACGGTTGGAAAAGGAAAGAAAAACTCAGATCTTTGACTTTCCACATACACTGTTTTTTACCCGTTACTGGCCAACTACATCTTGTGTGCAATCTGAGGTACACAGGTGTGAAGTAGTCGGTTCAGGACGACCGGCGCCAACTCTTCAAAAGGGTTCTTCCGTAATAGAAAGTACATTACTAATAACATTGTTGCCGATCAGATGAAAGATAAATTAAAGACTTCAAGTTTCGTTTAAAGTTCGTAAGCCACGCCTTATACCTACGTTATGTGGATTAATTAATTGAACACTTCGTGTTTTTTATGCAATCGTTACTACCGATCAGTTTGCACGTGAGAGAAAAATTATCATAACAAAGAAACCACTTAGCAACTTTTTGCCTCTTTAAGTGTCACCTGCTTGTATATGCTTGTTTGCGATCATTAATCAACAACACCTTTTAAAAGAATTTGACATTTCGTTTCTCAACGACTTAAAACAAGTACAAAAAACCTTTCCTCTTATCTCCATGCGTTTTACATGTTCTGAAATAATTATTTAATTTGTATTAGAAAGTAACGCAGGCGGAAATCGCGTGTAAAAAATATATTTGAGCCAAAAATATAAGCTTCTTTGTTAGCTGTAAAGGATGGAAATGGAAGGGCATGGAATCCAGGTTTTGCTATTTGCACCTGATGTAAAGTACATACCTTAATTTTAGCAGAATTGCTACAATTCCCAAATATCTCATTCTGCTAAGATGGAACATTTATAGTTTGAGGCCGTCATTCTGATCAACCTTTCTTACAACACAACATTATCAGATTAGAGAACTCCAAACGTTATGTGAAAAACACATCTGGACAGAATTTTAAAATGACACACAAGTTTCAGCATTTTTACTCAGATGGATAAAATTTTCCACGGTGGGAAAAAAAACGTAATATGACGGTACGGACGAACGACTTTAAACGCTGATCTTTAACCTTCACATTGAAGATTGTAATTATACACAAATGAAGGATGTTTTCACAAATTTTCTCATATGACATAAACATTAAGATAAAAATAAAATGTGGCGTGTGGACGGATAAGGAGATTGCAGGAGAGAGGAAAGAACTGATGCTCAATCCATCATTTTTTTTTATAGAAACGACGAGTAGCAATGAGGAAACTACTAACCTAAAAAATAATAGATCCTGACACTTGATAAAAGAAATTGATAAGCTTTATAAAATATAACCACTTATTTAGACAAATACGTTTGCAAACATCAGTCAAATAACGTCAGTCATCACTACATCCCAACATACTTAATTGGACAATAATGACGCTTTCATTATCAATACAAAAGTCAAATATTTCATGAAAATATAATGTTCCGCGCAAAGGTCTTTCTACCGCGTGAATCATACATCTTGGACAATCCATGTTTCCCTATTCCCAAGGACATCAAAGCAATGAAAAGTTCCTAAACGGGTAAATACTGCATATTATTTTCCGTCAACACCTACTATCCACACATCAGGAAACTAATTTGACACTTGTGTAGTCTTCTCTTTTTTCACGTTTGTATGACTTGTTAGTAAACCTTTCCAAGCAGAATAATAGTTCTTCACGCCATGAAATACAAAACACGCCCAAATTGGTCATTATACAATCAGAGGAAGAGGAATATTAATAACACACACACACACACACACACACGTGTATATATAATATCACGACTTGTAAACTGTTGGTTTAAAGCAATTTGATATACCTATACTGTTGGCGAATCAAATTCATATAAACATTGTTTCAACAATAAGCTGTCGATTATATGGATCAGTGGTGAATTTCCACTGATTGATCGTTAGATATGTAATAGAATAACGAAAAAAAATATTAGTAATCAACATTTTATAATTTTCACTTCCCTCTGGTGCTCAAGGGACAAAATACGCTGAAATATGTGGAGTAAGAGGAAAGATTTGGACTTGATAAAACCCTTGAAATTGACCTTACCAAGTAATCTATAAGAATCCAATGGTATGTATGCTTTCTACCTTATCAGCAGTGTTCACAATGATACGATGTTCCAATAGCCTGTCAATACTGTACACTTATACAGTATGCTTTTAACGGAGTTTATTTACATTCGCTCATCCCCTCAAAGAATTGCAGGTTTGGTACACTCCAACACACAGGAACATTCGCTTATACGTTCAAAGGATGAAAGAAAGAACCATGAAAACTCACTCACTAAGCGAATTCAATGCTCATTTCTTTCATGAACCCACTGAATTTATAATTAGAAATGCGTGGTCTATACGTGAAATTATAATTATAAAATGACAACTGCATATCAGTATAGAAGAAAACGCGTATCCACTGTATCCGAAATTGTAATTTCGGATATAAATAAATTTACATGGAACGACACAGGAGAATTATAATGTAATGTATGTTGATGAACCTGTTTTCGAATTTATTGTCCTCTTTGACCAGAAATAGTCTGGCAAAATTCAAATTTTCATAATTTGGTGTCCTTGTTTCAGCTCAATTCTAACCAAACCCAGATTTGTTTACCTTGCGACCAGGGTTTTTAACTCATTAACCAATCAAATCCCGATTAATCACAAGCGATAAGACGTAGAGAAATGTACTCGGGTCACAATTATTACTTCCGGTTCAGTACCCATTGATGTAGACTCGGTCTATTTTAAGGACATTTTTTTTTTCTTTATTTTAGTGGTGACCCAAGAGTTAAATTTAGGCATTCATAGTATTGATTTAATGGCAATTATTTTCTCTTGAGAATTTAAGTGTTATGATTGTCTGTTTGTATTTCGGCGAGAGTTCACAAAGAGTAATGAGAGATTGATGCTGATCCGGAAGTGAAATCTGTGAAATATTGCACGGTGCTTTATTTACGGACCAGCCTCTAATAACATTTTGGAGAAGCTATGACAAGAATGTCAGTAGCAATTCATCTTTGAGGTCATATTAGAACAAGATATGATTTATGATGATTTGGACACAAGGATAAGTTCAGTACTGAGAAACAAAGGCAGAGAATATTTAGAAGATGAATTATAACCTGAGCCCAAAATGTAATACATTTCAATACGTACGAACAGTCAGATTACTCGGGTAGTGTCGTTCATCTTCCACAAGCTTATAAAATGATAAAATAATATTCATTAAAAATCAACGTTAAACATATATGGAAATAAATGTTAAGGTCCGATTCTGCAAAAAAAAAAAACAATGCGAACTAAAAGAGTTATAAAAATGTTTACAAAATTCAAAGCACCAGTAGAAGCAGATCACACGTTCATTTGAACGGATAAATGACATTGGTTATTGCGTTATACGTGAATTATTCGAAAAAGTGCTTAGTGAACAAGTGAAATTTTGAATTGACAAAAATATTCGTCAGCACTTAGATTTAGTTCGTTGAAAAGATTATTTATATAGGGTATTAACTGCATTAATTACTGCCCAATTAGACAAACATATTCTGAATTTTTTTTAGCAACCTTAAATCGAATCGAACATTTATACTTTTTACTTTTATTTTCATTGTGAACACCTGCTTGATGTACAGATTTATCTCAAATCATTGGCAAAAGGCTGACGTAATCATCTTATTGATCATGAATGTCTGGTGTCAAAAGCGACTGCAAAACCATAAACTCTATCACATAAAAGTTTAATTACTTTCAAAAAAATGCAGGTATGAGTAAGCTAGTGTCTTTTATTTGGAGGAACTAGGAACACTGACATCTAGCCCTCGAATGGTCAACCGTTTTGACAATGTGTTTGCACGTTGCCATAAAAAGATGGTTTTATTTAATTGGGACATATGATCAGTGAGTCGGCTCGGCTTTCAAACAGTTTGTCGTTGCAATACACCACTTCATTACTTAAATAAAATCATTAAGAGTTTACGGTTGATGATTAAAAGTTGGAATGACTCGTGTTCAATGTCGTTCTGTCAATGGATTGGACAGAAATTTTCAGGTGATAACTGCTCGATTCGTGCAACGAAGCTTGTCAAATGTGTCGTACAAAAAAAGAATATACATTTTGCATTCATTGTAATTATTTTGTTTAAAATAAATATTCCCTGCAACAAATGTTATTTATCTTACCTAGTGAGGTACAATTGTGTTATTTTCGTTAAATAGGCTAAGGACGTATTATTTTTGTCTGATTCCATGCTTGATTACAACACGTATTTTAAATACAGATGAATCTTATAGAAACCAAACCTCACAAAAAGTCAGCGGTCATAGACTAAAATTTTATATCAATAAATATAACGAAGTAACATTTATCCAAGCGCATTTTAAAACAAAATTGGGATGACTTATTGGTATTTTTAGGCTTAGGTCTAAGTTTATCCATGTCTATTTTGAAACAAAACTGGGATGACGTTTTTGTCTCTTTTGAGCAGAAATTAAAATTTGTTTAAAAAATTTTAAAACAAGATTTTACTACTTATTTGCTTCGTTTTATCTGAAATTTACATTATTTAGCAAGTAATTTGTTTTCGATATGACGAAAGAGAGAGAGAGAAAGAGAGAGAGAGAAAGAGAGAGAAAGAGAGAGAGAGAGAAAGAGAGAGAGAGTGAGAGAGAGAAAGAGAGAGAGAAAGAGAGAGAGAAAGAGAGAGAGAGAAAGAGAGAGAAAGAGAGAGAGAGAGAGAGAGAAAGAGAGAGAAAGAGAGAGAGAAAGAGTGAGAGAGAGAAAGAGAGAGAGAGAGAGAGAGAGAGAGAGAGAGAGAGAGAGAGAGAGAGAGAGAGAGAGAGAGAGAGAGAGAGAGAGAGAGAGAGAGAGAGGGCACTGATATTATCTGCTTTCATTACACCCTTACTACGGGTCGTTTCATAGAGATCGAAACGCTCTTGTGTTCTGTAAACTATTAATGTGTGTAATTATAGATTATTGAATTTATTTTAGGTGTTTGAAGACAGTTGGGGTGGAAAATTTAAAGGCGGGGACGACCTTTGTTCGATAAATTGTAACCTAGTGG